AAGTTTTTTCTGTTACTTAATTGGCCTTTCAGAGTTGGTAAGACAACTCCCACCTGTTCATGCTCTCTGTATGTGTGTATATATATCTCCTCAATATATATTCCACTCTGTATGCATCCGAAGAAGTGGGCTGTAGTCCACGAAAGCTTATGCTCTAATAAATTTGTTAGTCTCTAAGGTGCCACAAGTACTCCTGTTCTTTTTGCGGATACAGACTAACACGGCTGCTACTCTGAAAAATGACAATAGACTCATCCATAGATACGGTTGTGCACAGACCCAGGCATTTATATAGGGGAAATTTTCCAACATTTACTTCAGGGGGAATTTTGTGCCACAACACAATACAGAATTTGCGCAGAATTTCATTTCCTCCCTCTCACAGCAGAATTGGTGCTGCAGAGCTGCTGGCTGTCAGTAGCACATGCGGGACCTACCAGAGCCTGGCTCTCCAGCTTGCAAATACATGACACTGTCAGGGGGATGGGGAGGGAGAACTGGACTGTTCCACACAGGTGCAGTTCCCAGCATGTCCTGAAGGAAGGAAATGGCATGCAGGAAACTCTGTACAAGCCTGGGACCCAGCATCAGGCTGTTTCTCCCTCTGGATCCCTGGGCTCTTGGTGGTAGGGGGTGCAGGTGTCTGGGCTAGGGGGGTGCCCCACAGCTGGACTCTGGGGGTGTGGGTGTCTAAGACTGGAGGGGCAGAGATTTCTCCCAAGATGTGCCCAGCTGACACATGTGACACACTCAGACAGGTGCCCAACAAAAGCTTAACAAAGAAACAGGAACTGGGCTGTCATAGGAGTTTCTTTGACTCTACTCCTGGGGGAATTTTTTTTGCTGGCTGACAGGTATTTTGAAATAAATTACCAAAATAATTGAAACTGTCAAAATAACAATATACTCACACCAAATAAAATATGCAGAATTTTAAAATATTGTATGCAGAATGTTTAATTTTTTAGCACAGAATTCCCTCAGGAGTACACATTACTACACCGCTATGCGAGTAGCTTCCTACGTACCAAATAACAATGGCTTTTTCAGTTTAGGTTACATCCCCTTGGAAGTAATACTATTAGGTTTCCTTGGATAGACACACCTTAGCTATGAGATTTCAATCAGGTTTTGCAAAACCAAACTGAATGCTACAGCTGCTACACATGTGTACAGCTTCCACTGACTCCAGTAGCAGCTATACCTGAAGAGCTACAACTGTGTTGAGCTCCACTGTGCCAAACTCAGACCTGTTTGTAAGCCTCGACTTTTGTTCAACCAATAGTGGTGAATAATAATCTGACATTTAGATGTCAGATGCTATAGTAATGGGGGCAATATATGGAGCCAGACCACCTTTGCCACAATGCCACCTATAGCGAAATAAAACCTGGACACAGAAGACACTCCACCCACCGCAGAAATGCAGCTGCTTCTAGGGAGGACTGTGTTACAGAGCTCTCCATCTCCACTTGCTGATGGTGGGAATAAAAGCACTTCAGTTTATGTAGGAGAATGCTGACACGTGGAATAAAAATACAGAGGAAAGTTGTCCTGTTCCACTTTGAGCTAACATGTAGGTCCCAACTTACAGCAGGGGGAGACCACCTGCCTTTGCACTTACTGCTTTTCCAGGATAGGCTATATGGCAAGGACTTGGGTGCTCTCATGCCTGGCATTAGGTTACTCTTTTGTTCCCTTACTTCACTGGACCCAGGGTTGAAAGAGATCAAATAAGAGTTATCCTACACATGTGTACTTCTTTTAGCTAAGTATCTTTTACTATAAATATTTGAGTATGTTAATTTAAACATGCAATCAGAACAGTTACTTCTCCTCGCAAATGCTAGAGAAAAAGTGTAGAACATGTTGATGTCATCTACTTTTTGACTAAAATCCCCAGTTAATCAGTCATCCAAACAAGAAAGAAATAACACAAAGACAGCAAGAAAAATCAGAGTTAAAGCTTGATTATAAATAAATATTGCACTGCCCTCAACTGTAAATGGCATCTCAGCACACAAGCCCTAGTCGTCTCTATACGTGCAGATGTCTAATAGTGAATGCCAGTGAAAATGAGGTAGGATCAGAGGCTAGAATAGGGAAAGAAAATTTTAAAAATTACTTAGACAAGTTAGAGGTCTTCAAGTGGGCAGGGCCTGATGAAATACATCCTAAAATACTCAAGGTGCTGACTGAGGAGATATATGAGCCATAAGCGATTATCTTTGAAAAGATGTCCATCTGCTTGCATTTGGAAAGGAAGATTATCTTTGAAAAGTCATGGAAGACAGGAAAGATTCCAGAGGACTGGAAAAGGGGCAAATATAGTACCAATCTATAAAAAAAAGGGAATAAAGGCAACCTGGGGAATTACAGACCAGTCAGCTTAACATCAGTTCCTGGGAAGATAGAGAAAATAATTAAGCACTCAAATTGCAGGATCCTAGAGAATAATAAGGCGATAAGTAACAGTCAGCATGGATTTGCCAAGAACAAAATTGTGTCAAACCAACCTAATAGCTTTCTTTGACAGAGTAACAAGCCTTGTGGATGGGGGAGGGGGAGTGGTAGATGTGGTGTATCTTAAGTTTAATAAGGCTTTTGATACTGACTCGCATGACCTCCTCGTAAACAAACTAGGGAAATACAACCTAGATGGAGTTCCTATAAGGTGGGTGAATAACCGGATGGAAAAATGTTTACAGAGAGTAGGTGGTTCACAGTCAAGCTGGAAGTGCATATTGAGTGGGGTCTCACAGGAATCAGTTTTGGGTCCGGTTCTGTTCAATATCTTCATCAGTGATTTAGATAATGGCATAGAGAGCACATTTATAAAGTTCGCAGACGATACCAAGCTGCGAGGGATTGTAAGTGCTTTGGAGGATAGGATTAAAATTCAAAACTATCTGGACAAACTGGAGAAATGGTCTGAAGTAAATAGGACGTGCGACACTACACTCCATATTCGTCATAGTATATGACACCATTTCTGGGCACCGCATTTCAAGAAAGATGTGGAGAAATTGGAGAGGGTCCAGAGAAGAGCAACAAGAATTATTAAAAGGCCTGCTCTACACTATGAATTTAATTCGAATTTAGCAGCGTTAAATCGAATTAACCCTGCACCCATCCACACAATGAAGCCATTTATTTCGAAATAAAGGGCTCTTAAAATCGATTTCTGTACTCCTCCCCGACAAGGGGAGTAGTGCCAAAATCGATATTGTCATTTCGAATTAGAGTTAGTGTGGCCGGAATTCGATGGTATTGGCCTCCGGGAGCTAGAACATGACCTATGAAGGAAGGCTGAAAGAACTGGGTTTGTTTAGTTTGGAAAAGAGAAGACTGAGAGGGGACATGATAGCAGTTTTCAGGTATCTAAAAGGGTGTCATAAGGAGGAGGGAGAAAACTTGTTCACCTTAGCCTCTAAGGATAGAAGAAGAAGCAATGGGCTTAAACTGCAGCAAGGGAGGTTTAGGTTGGACATTAGGAAAAAGTTCCTAACTGTCAGGGTGGTTAAACACTGGAATAAATTGCCTAGGGAGGTTGTGAAATCTCCATCTCTGGAGATATTTAAGAGTAGGTTAGATAAATGTCTATCAGGGATGGTCTAGACAGTATTTGGTCCTGCCATGAGGGCATGGGACTGGACTCGATGACCTCTCGAGGTCCCATCCAGTCCTAGAATCTATGAATAGTAATATTATTAGGATATGATCATGACATCATTATGAAGCATTTTGTACAAGATGGGTCATGTAAGGTGTCATTGGAAAAAATTATGATTTGCATGTATGTATCATATTTGTATCTGAAGTTATATTTCAAATGGGCTTACTCTGGAAGACACCCACAGCCAGCCTTTCAGATACAACAATGACGAAGCCAGAGTGCTAATGGCTCATCAACAGAGACAATGGGCTGTGGAATAGGTTAGCGCTCCTGTGGAAGGCCAGCCTGTAAGTTATGGCTGCAAGGACTCTGCAAGGGCATGTGACCAGATCACATGTCTCTGGACTCCATTCTAGGTACCTGAAATTTTCCACAAACTGGTTTGGAAACCAAGTTTGAAACAGAGTCCCACCATATTAAAAAGCTATATAAGGCAGGGAGTTCTTCACTCCCCCACAACTCAACAACAGACAGAAGCTCTGAAAGAAAAAGTTTTGGAACGGGGTACGAGATCCAAGCTGCAAAACAAATGTAGCTTGTCCCTTAAGAATCTGCAAGCCTGCTTATATCGCCAGCCAGGGTGAGAAGCTTCAAATTCATATCCAATCTTTCTAGAATTTTAGGCTTAGTTTGCGGTTCTGTTTATTTACTAGGTAATCCACTTTGGTCTGTTTTTTATCACTTATAATCACTTAAAATCTATCTTTTGTAGTTAATAAACTTGCTTTTTGCTTTATCTAAACCGGTGTGCCTGAGACCAAAGTGTCTTGGGAAAAATCTCATCGTGGTTAACACAAGTATGCATTGTCCTCTCCACATCGAGGGAGTGGTGAACTGGGTAATAAATTCATACTGGTCGAGGTTTTGATCAGGGCAGGACGGTACAGCTCTGGGGTCCCAGCCTGGGGGTTATTTTGGCTGTAGCCTCTCTATTGTTGGTTCATGCAGTGGCTGTCCAAAGCCTGCATGCAACTGCAGCTGGATGAGTCCCTGCCTGTGTGAATGCTGGTGGGAGTGTAGGATCGGGAGTGGTCTATAGCCGGTCACAGCAGCACAGTGCTAAGAGGGAGCCCAGGCTGGTGAGTTATAGGGCTCAGTGGAACCCCAGTTCCAGGTGGCACCCCCAGGGGAACCCATCACAGGATGAAATTCAATAAGGACAAATTCAGAGTACTCCACTATCAGTTGCACACATACAAAATGGGAAATGACTGCCCAGGATGATGAAGTACTGAAGAAAGGGATCTGGGGGTCATAGTGGATCGCAAGCTAAATATGAGTCAACATCATTCTGAAATACATTAGCAGGAGTGTTGTAGGCAAGATGTGAGAAGTAATTCTTCTGCTCCACTCCATGCTGATTAAATGTCCAATTCTGGGTGCCACATTTTCAGGTAAGATGTGGACAAATTAAAGAAAGTCCAGAGAAGAGCAACAAAAATTATTAAAGGTCTAGAAAACATGACCTATGAGGGAAGGCTTGACAAAGCCCTGGTCAGATGATTTAGTTGGGGATTGGTCCTGCTTTGAGCAGGGGGTTGGACTAGATGAGCTCCTGAGGTCTCTTCCAACCCTGATATTCTATTATTAAGATTGAAAAAATTGGGCTTGTTTAGTTTGGAGAAGAGAAGACTGAGCCCTGGTCTACACTACGAGTTTAGGTCAAATTTAGCAGCGTCAGATTGATTTAACCCTGCGCCCATCCACACGACGAAGCCATTTTTGTCAACTTAAAGGGCTCTTAAAATAGATTTCTGTACTCCTCCCCGACGAGGGGATTAGCACTGAAATCGACCTTGCTGGGTAGAATTTGGGGTAGTGTGGACGCAAATCGACATTATTGGCCTCCGGGAGCTATCCCAGAGTGCTCCAATGTGACCGCTCTGAACAGCGCTTTCAACTCAGATGCACTAGCCAGGTACACAGGAAAAGCCCTGGGAACTTTTGAATTTTGTTTCCTGTTTGGCCAGCGTGGCAAACTCATCAGCAGAGGTGACCATGCAGTCCCAGAATCGCAGAAGAGCTCCAGCATGGACCGAACAGGAAGTACTGGATCTGATTGCTGTATGGGGACATGAATCCATGCTATCAGAACTCCGTTCCAAAAGACGAAATGTCAAAATATTTGAAAAAAATCTCTAAGGCCAGATGGACAGAGGCTATAACAGGGACCAGCAGCAGTGCCACGTGAAAATTAAAAAAATAAAATAAACGGAGATATCCTATCTCCTAGAACTGGAAGGGACCTTGAAAGGTCATTGAGTCCAGCCCCCTGCCTTCACTAGCAGGACCAAGTAAAGATTTTGCCCCAGATACTTAAGTGGCTCCCTCAAGGATTGGGTTTCACAGGACAATGCTCAAACCACTGAGCTATCCCTCCCCCCTACCAAAAAACAAAGAGGCAAATGGCAGCTCCGGGTCTGACCCCCAGACATGCCGCTTCTATGATGAGCTGCATGCATGGGGGTGTTAGTTGGGTTTGTGCTGCACGTTAACCCTAAAACCACAGCTCCTCCTTTTAAATGGCCAACCCATTTTAAATGGCCAACCCAACAGGTGCTTGGTATGGGAAATGAGGGCGCTGCTGTTTGAAACCATTCCCACACGTTATGAAGGTTGAAGAAGCCGAAAGACTGTGGCTTACCATGGGTGCCTGCAAGCCAAATTCCATTGCCTGGCCCTGCGTGTGTGATCTTCTCACACCAAACCGGCAGGCCCTCAATAGAAGAGGCAAAATGCGACCTTGTACCGAAAGCACATGTGCTATATAATGTTAACAGCTTGGTTCACCATGAAAGAGCTACCCATTGTTCTCTAAAATGTGTCTTTTCAAATACTACTCTCCCTTTTTTTCCTCCCGCAGCTGCAAATGTTTCAACGCTCCCTCTATCATCTCCATCCCAGAGGCTAGCGCAGATAAGAAGGCGAAAAAAAACGCCCTCATGATGAAAATGTTCTCTGAGCTCATGCAGTCCTCCCACACGGAAAGAGCTCAGCAGAATGCGTGGAGGCAAACAATGACGAGCAAGAAGAAAGGTGGGGGCGGGAGCAAGAGGAGAGGTGGTGGCAGCGTGATGAGAGGAGGCAGAATGCAATGCTGAGGCTACTGGAGGATCAAACTGATATGCTCCGGCGTACGGTTGAGCTGCAGGAAAGGCAGCAGGAGCGCAGACTGCCAGCGCAGCCCTTATGTAACCAACTGCCCTCCTCCCCAAGTTCCATGGCCTCCTCTCCCAGACGCCTAAGAACGCCCCCCGCCCCCGGCCACCCAACCACTCCACCCCAGAGGACTGCCCAAGCAACAGAAAGCTGGCATTCAATAAGTTTTGAAATACAGTGTGGTCTTGTCCTTCCCTCCTCCCCTACCCCTCCCGGGCTACTTTGGCAGCTATCCCCCTATTTGTGTGACAAATTAATAAAGAATGCATGATTTTGAAACAACAATGACTTTATTGCCTCTGCAAGCAGTGATCGAAGGTGGGAGGTTGGGCTGGCTTACAGCGAAGTAGAGTGAACCAAGGGGGCGGGTTTTATCAAAGAGAAACAATCAGAACTCTCACACCATACTCTGGCCAGTCACGAAACTGGTTTTCAAAGCTTCTGTGATGCGCAGCGCACCCTGCTATGCTCTTCTAACCGCCCTGGTGTCTGGCTGTGTGTAATCAGCGGCCAGGCAATTTGCCTCAACCTCCCACTCTGGCATAAATGTCTCCCCCTTACTCTCACAGATACTGTGGAACACACAGCAAGCAGCAACAACAATGGGAATACTGGTTTCGCTGAGGTCTAACCGAGCTTTTAAACGTCCAAATGCATATTCTACCACCATTCTGCACTTGCTCACCCTATAGTTGAACTGCTCCTTACTACTGTCCAGGGTGCCGGTGTATGGCTTCATAAGCCATGGCATTAAGGGGTAGCCTGGCTCCCCAAGGATAACTATAGGCATTTCAACATCCCCAATGGTTATTTTCTGGTCTGGGAAGTAAGTTCCTTCCTGCAGCTGTTCAAATAGACCAGAGTTTCTGAAGATGCGAGCGTCATGTACCTTTCCCGGCCATCCCACGTTGATGTTGGTGAAACGTCCCTTGTGATCCATCAGTGCTTGCAGCACCATTGAAAAGTACCCCTTGCGGTTTAGGTACTGGCTGCCAAGGTGGTCCAGTCCCAAGATAGGGATATGCGTTCCTTCCATCGCCCCACCACAGTTAGGTAATCCCATTGCAGCAAAGCCATTCACTATGACCTGCACATTTCCCAGAGTCACTACCCTTGATAGCAGCAGCTCAGAGATTGCGTTGGCTACTTGGATCACAACAGCCTCCACAGTAGATTTGCCCACTCCAAATTGATTCCCGACTGACCGGTAGCTGTCTGGCGTTGCAAGCTTCCAGAGGGCTATCGCCACTTGCTTCTGAACTGCGAGGGCTGCTCTCATCTTGGTATTCTTGCGCTTGAGGGCAGGGGAAAGCAAATCACAAAGTTCCATGAAAATGCCCTTACACATGCAAAAGTTTCACAACCGCTGGGAATCATCCCAGACCTGCAACATTATGCGGTCCCACCAGTCTGTGCTTGTTTGCTGGGCCCAGAATTGGCATTCCATGGCATGAGCCTGCCCCATTGCCACCAGGATGTCCAAATTGCCGGGACCTGTACTTGGAGAGAAGTCTGTGTCCATGTCCTCATCACTCTCGTCACCGCCTCCTCGCCTGCTTTTGCAGGTTCTGGTTCTGCACATACTGCAGGATAAATGCATGAGGTGTTTACAATGCTCATAACTGCCGCGGTGATCTGAGCGGGCTCCAGGCTTGCCGTGGTATGGCGTCTGCAGGAGAGCAGAGTTGCAACGGAAGCGGTGGCTGATGATGGATGCCATGAGAATAGATATTTATAGAGAACAACGAGAGGACCTGTGAGGTGGATTCATGAGAGCAGGAGAGCAGAGTTGCAGCGGAAGCGTACCCGGAGCCCATGACAGACAACATGGAGAAATTCGCTATTGACACAATAGCAGCAGAGCAGAGATGCAGCAGAAACGGTGGATGACGATGGTTAGCAGTCCTACTGCACCGTCTGCTGCCAGCAGCACCTAGTACACAACAGCAGCAGTGTCGGTGAGCTGAGCTGAGCGGGCTGCACGCTTGCCGTGGCATGGCGGCTGCGCAGAGAAAAGGCGCGGAAAGATTGTCTGCCATTGCTTTCACGGAGGGAGGGGCAGCTGACGACATGTACCCAAAACCACCCGCGACAATGTTTTTGCCCCAGAATTCCAATGGGCGGCAGAGATGGCAGGAACTGTGGGATAGTTACCCACAGTGCAACACTCCGAAAGTCCACGCTAGCCACGGTACTGTGGACGTACTCCGCTGACTTAATGCGCTTAGTGGGGACACACACAATTGAGTGTATAAAATCGCTTCCTAAAAAAATCGACTTCTATAAATTCGACCTAATTTCGTAGTGTAGACATACCCTGAGAAGGGACATGATAACAGTTTTCAAGTAGATAAAAAGGTTGTTACAAGAAAAAGGGAAGCGGCCATCAGCAGGTCCGGCTCCTAGGCAGAGGCGTGCAAGCAGCTCCGTGCGGCTATCGCCTACAGGGACTGCCCCCCGCCCACCAGCTCCCATTGGCCAATGGGAATGCAGAGCCGGTGCTCAGGGCAGGGGCAGCGCATGGAGCCCCGTGGCTCTCCCCCACCCCCAACCTAGGAGCCGGACCTGCTGCTGGCCGCTTCAAGGGCACAGCGCAGTGTCGGAACAGGTAGGGACTAGCCTGCTTTAGCTGCTCAGCACCCCCGACGGGACTTTTAATGGCCCGGTCAGTGGAGCTGACCAAAGCCGCCGCAACCCAGTGCCTTCATTCCGTGACCCAGTTCTGGGTCATGACCCACAGTTTGAAAAGCACTTGTCTAGATAATACTTAGTCCTGCCGTGGGTGCAGGGGACTGGACTAGATGACCTCTCGAGGTCCCTTTCAGTCCTATGATTCTATGTCACTGTTACGGGCTGTAGAAGGCTCTGATTAGACAGGTAAGGCATAGTACAATGATTTGGTTGTTCAGGGGTGAGACAGAGATAATGACCAAACACAGTATGCTTCATTTTCCAAACTTGCATTGTGATTAAACTTCACAAATAAAATAATTTCTGACTCAGGGCTCTAACTGCCTGCAAAATCTCCTGGCTGTTAAAAGTTACTTGCAGCAGGTCATGAGAGATTAGATTAGCTAAGGGCTGACATCAGTCTGCATTTCTATCAAGCCCAGCATAACAGTTTAGTGTTTAACCCCCCAACAAATATATAACCAGTGGGGATTGAATCCAGAACCATCAGCACTAATAGTACTACAGTAGAATTAGAGGAGTAACCATTAGCTGGTAGCAATAGTATGTTCTTATACTCTCATATGGATCTGCAACTAAAAGGAGACAGGAAATACTGACCCAGAGGCATAGGAATGATGATTCATGCCGGTGGGAACTCCCCCACTATCACCCAAAAATAGGATTCATAAAGTAAATTGCATCTGCCCATCAACACAGCAGCATGAATTAAAAGTAGTTTGAAAGCACATCTTCTATGGAAAGCACTGTCACAAGAAATACACCTTTTGTTACCTGTTGTTTATGCCACTATTGAACGTGCCCCAAACGAACGTAGAATTTGTTTGCTCCTGTAGATCTGCCAAAGGAAACAGACATCACTGTGGCTCAGTACTGAGTAACTTCTGCAAGCGTCATAGCAACATAAAATGAGAAATATGGCAGAGACGCTGCTAGGTTTACAAAACGGAATGAGAATTTAGCTAAGGCTTGGCGTAAGTGACAGCAAAGCAGACATTTAATTGAGAAATATAAAGTGTAAAGGTTATCATCAATTTCCACTTTCATCAAAGCACAGATGGGGCAACAGACTACATGGAAAACAACAGATGTTTTGTAGAGAATAGCAGGCATGCGGTAGAGCCTGTGAAGCAGGAGAACTTAATTTGTTCAGGGACATTATAATTGGGTGTCCCAACACATGATCTGTGCAGAAGGATCTATGGGACCTCTCTCTTAGTCAATGTCACTTCTTTGGGGGCAAGAAGAAGGGAATAGCAGGGGCTGACAGCCACCCTATGTCAACCTACTTCCTCACCTTTATCCCAGTCTTCGTCACATGGGGACGGCTGCCACATGCTGACAGTGCTCATCTTCTCTCTGTGGCAGTTATTCGACTGACTCACTTAAAGCAAAGAAGATTCTTAGTGAGAAAATCTTTTTGGATAAAATACAATCCTATTTTAGGGACATTTAGGGCTACCATATGTCCGGATTTCCCCGGACATGTCCGGCTTTTCGGTCTATAAATAGCCGTCCGGGGGGGATTTTTAAAAATCTAAAAATGTCCGGGATTTCCCCCCGGTTGGCTATTTATAGACAGAAAAGCAGTGGCCAAGTGTCGCTGGGCACCCAAAGCCCCTTCCCGGCTCCCCCCATCCCCTGCAGCCTTACCATGCTGTCCGGCCCCGCAGCTGTCTTCCCCCTCCTCCACTCCCCTAAACGCTCCGCCCACCTGCTCCTCCCCCTCCCCTGCTTCCCGCGAATCAGATCTTCGCGGGAAGTCTGAAAAGAAGAAGGGGCAAGCAGCAGCAGGTAAGCTGGGGCAGGGGAGTGCTAGGAGGAGAGCTCCAGGGAGGCGCGGCCCTGACTGAGTGGCTCCTTCCGGCCCGGGCCGAGCAGCGCCCGGCGGCCGCAGCGGCTCCGGCCCAGCTCGGGCCCCAGCAGCTCCGGCCCCGGTTCCAGCCCCAGGGCGGCGACCCCGGTTGTGGCCGAGCACCCCCGGCCCGGGCCCCAGCAGCGCCGGCCCCGGCTCTGGCGGCTCCAGCCCGGCTCAGGCCCCAGCAGCGCCGGCCCTGGTTGTGGCCCAGCTCGGGCCCCAGCAGCGCCGGCCCTGGTTCCGGCTGAGTGCGCCGGACCAGCCCCGGCCGAGCACCTCTGGCCTGGCCCCAAGCCCCGCAACCCCGGCCGGAGTGCAGCCCGATTCCTGGGCTCTTTAAAGCCGGCCCTGGTCAGGGGACAGGGAGGGGGGTTGGATGGGTCGGGAGTTTGCGGGGGGGCTGTCAGGGGGGCAGGGGTGTGGAGAGGGGTTGGGACAGTCAGGGACAGGGAGCAGGGGGGGTTAGATGGGT